GTTTTTGCTACAAAACAACCAACCACAAAGCTTGCTGCCTTAAGGCAGTGGTCCTCAGCCTTTATGGTACCAGGGGTGGGTTTCTTGTAAAATAATTTTTTCATGGACCAGGGGGTGGAGAGGTGGTTTCAGGATGATTCAAGTGCATTACATTTATTGTGCACTTTATTTCTATTATTACATCAGCTCCACCTCAGATCATCTGGCATGAGATCCCGGAGGTTGGGGACCCCTACCTTAAAGTACCAACTCTGGATTTAGCAGACTGGCAATCTGAGCTAAACCCCAGTGATGCACTTGGCTCATGCCCACATCTGTGACACCAACTGCCAGGTTGGCTAGGGACAGGCTGGTCTGAGATAGCCTCAGCTAGTTAGATTGTATTTCTTCCGTGTGGTCTCATATCTCCCAAGGCTAGCCTGGGTTTGTTCACAGGGAGGTAGCTGAGTTGCAGAAGAGTAAGCTGAAACAGCAAAAAAATGCTCACAGCCTTTTGAGATAGGCCTGGACCAGGACACTTTGTATTCACTTTGTATTCAATTGGTCAGAGCAAGTCCCAAGGCCAGCTCAGGTTCAAGGGCTGCAGTTCTTGATGGGGGCAGCTACTCTGCATTGGAAAGGGATGCAGGTACAAAGAAGATAATAATGACGGCCATTTTTTTCTTTTTCTAAAATTTTTTAAATTGAGGTAACACTCTTTTGTATAAGTTTCGTGTGTACAACATATTTCTATTTCAGCTTGCAGGATCTTAGTTCCCCTATCAGGGATTGAACCTGGGCCCTTGACAGTGAAAGTGAGGAGTCGTAACCACTGGACCACGAGGAAATTCCTATATTTCTACTTCTTTATACGCTAGAACATGCTCACCACCAAAAATTTAGTTTTCATCCATTAACATACAGTCGATCCCCTTTACCCAATTTGCCCCCCTTCCTCTAGTAATATTGGGGGACAGAGGGAACAAAAAGTGCCCATGAAACTGAGAAGTTGTCTTGAGACCAAAAGATTAGGCAAGCAGCTCCATATAATCAAGTTGGCAGCTGCACTTTGCACCAGTGAGGGGCACTGGGACAATTTTATAGTTAATCTAGGGTAGGGGTACAGATACTTGAAAGCAGGCCATGCATTCCTAAATTAAGATTTATGAATGGGTAGCTAGTCATGTGGGCACTGGGAATACGTCACAAAGGGTTTTTTCATCATTATTTGGGGACTAAGAAAGCATAGAGCCTACCAGATCCTGATGATTATGAAACGACATCTATTAACTACAAAACCCTTGATGATAGATAAGTGATTCACTACATAGTACAGTCTAGGTAGGGTCAGTGTAAAGATGGGAGAAATTGCAAGAGCCCAAGATGGCGTCAGTTATGCTGCCAGCCATACAGGTAGCCACTACTCTGCCCTCTGTATCTACATATTTGTTTTTTGTTTCATTTGGTTTGTTCATTTATTTTTTTTATATCCTACATATGAGTGAAATCATACAATATTTGTCTTTCTTCTGACATTTCACTTAGCATAATACCCTCAAGATCCATCCATGTTTTTGTAAATGGCAAGATTTCATCTTTTTTATGGCCGAGATGTAATCTATTATATATAAAGAAGATGTGAGAGATATATATCTCATATTCATGATTATATGGTTTTCCTCATCATTGATATAGTGAATTACACTGATTAATTTTTGAATATTGAACTAATCTTGCATTCCTAGGATAAAACCCACTCAGATATGATGTATTTTTCTTATTATATATTATTGAATTTGATTTGCTCAAATTTTGTTAAGAACTTTTACATTAGTGTTTCTGAAGTACATTGGCATATAGTTTTCTTATAAAATTTTTGTTTGATTTTGGTATAGAGTAATGCTGACCACTTCATGAATGATTTGGAAAATAGTCTCTCCTCTTTAATTTCCTGGAAGAGTTTGTGGAGAATTGACTCATTTTGTCTTTAAATATTTATTGGAATACTCCCATGAAGCCAGTTGGGCCTGGAGTTTTCTTTGTAGAAATGTTTTCAATAAATTCAATTTCTTTAATCAATATAAGGCTAAACAGGTTACCTATTTCTTCTTATTGAGCTTCAATAGTTTATGTCTTTCAAGGACTTTTACCATTTCACCTAAGTTGTGAAATTTGTTGGCATAAATTTCACGACTTTTCCCCAATATATATTAAAAATACTATAAAGCCTCTAGAATGAAAACAATGTAATATTGGTACATGAATAGAAAAGAAACCAGTGGAATAGATCAGAGAAAGTCTAGAAAGAGACTCATATATTTGGCAATTTAGTATATGACAAAGTATAGGGCATTTCAAATTATTGGGGTAAAGATGTACTTTAAAAAATTTATTTTGGTAAAATATCCACAGCATAAAATTGATCATTTGAGCCATTCTGGGGTATACAGTTTAGTGGTATTAAATACATTCATATTGTGGAACTTCCCTGGTGACTCAGATGGTAAAGAATCTGCCTGCAAAAAAAAAAAAAAAAAAAGAATCTGCCTGCAATGCAGGAGACCCGGGTTCAATCCCTGGGTCTGGAAGACCATGGACAGAGGAGCCTGGTAGGCTACAGTCCATGGGGGTCACAAAGAGTTGGACACGACTGAGCGACTAACTCTTTCACTTTCAGAGAATTAAACTCTTACATGCTGAATGGTGTGGCAAAAAAAAAAAAAAATGCATTCATGTTGTACAACCATCACCACATCCATTTTCAGCACTGTTTCTTAATAGACTTTTTTTTAAATGCTACCATTTATTCATTTAGTATTTTAGTTATTACAAGACCATTTCTTTTTACTGCCTCAAAAATCCTCTGTGTTCTTTGTATTCATCCCCCTTTCCCCTAATTCCTGGCAACCACTGACCTTTTTACTGTCTCCATGGTTGTGCCTTTTCCAGAGTGTCATATAGTTGGAATCAAACAGTATGTAGCCTTTTCAGATGGGCTTCAGTCACTTATTAATATACATTTAAGCTTCCTCCATGTCTTTTTCTGACTGGATAGCTCACTTCTTTTCTGTATTGAATCACGTTCCATTGTTGGGATATACCACAGTTTATCCATTCATCTATTGAAGGACATCTTGGTTGCTTCCAAATTTTGGCAAGTATGAATCAAGCAGCTATAAACATCTGTGTGCATGTTTTTTTCGTGGACATAAGTTTTCAGTTCCTTTGGGTAAATATCAAGAAGCACAAGTAGTAGATCATATGATAAGTATATGTTTAGTTTTCTAAGAAACCACCAAATGATTTTCCAAAGTGGTGGTATCATTTTGCATTCCCACAGGTGATGAATGAGAGTATCAGTGGTGAATTGGAGAAGAACTATATTCAATATCCTGTAATAAACCATAATGGAAAAGGTCATGTATACTTATACATGTATATATATATATACATATATGGGCTTCTCTGGTGACTCAGTGGTAAAGAATCCAAAGAATCCACCTGCCAATGCAGGAGATGCAGGAGACATGGGTTTTATCCCTGGATCATGGGAAGAAAATTTCCTTCTGGAGGAGGAAATGGCTACCCACCCCAGTATTCTTGCCTGGAGAATCCCATGGACTGAGGAGCCTGGTGGGTATAGTCCATGGGATCACAAAGAGTCGGACATGGCTTAGTGACTGAGCATGCATGCAGTGCAAGCATAAAACCTCATATGTTGATAAAAACTGTGTACTAGGCTGGTTAACGGCTACAATCCCTTGCATTCTAGTATTCACTTTGCAATGTATCCCTGCCCTTCATTCCTTCCATCCAAGGGTGGGTCTATTTCTTCACCCACCTACCCCAGAGTCTGGACTGGCCTTGTAACCTGCTTTGGCCAGTAGCAGTAGATGGAAGTGACTTGAGACCCCCACAGTCAGTTCAGGAAGCTTGAGGCTTCTGCCTTGATTCTCTCAGAAAGTTCTGGTTGCCATATAAAGGAGTCCACTTATGTTTTTTAGAACATAAAAAGCCATGGAGAAGAGGAGACCTGAGGAGCCCTAGTCCATAGCCAGATATGTGACTCAGGTTATCTGGAATCTTCCAGCTCAGCTGATTCTCCCTCTTGAATGAGTCTAGTCAAAACTGGCAAGAGGAAGTACCCAACCAACCAGCACAATCATAACACATCATAAACTATTACTGTTTTGGGCCACTATCCCTTGGAGTGGCTTGTTACACAAGAAAAGGTAATTAAAACTGGAGTTCAATTTATCATTAAAACATGAAAAACCATAATAGGCAGAGGAAGTGGGTGGGGGTAGAGAGGAAACAAAATTGGCCTTACCTTGATAATTACTGAAGCTGGGGATTCATTATCTACTCATCTATTTTTGTATATATTTGAAATTTTCCATAGTAAAAAGTAAAAAATAAAAGGGAGGGTTAGAAAGATTTCATTGGAAAAATGTGGCTCTTCTCTGGTGTCCCAGTATTGCTAGGATTCCATGCTACCGATGCAGGGGGCCAGGGGTCCATCCCTGGTGGGGGAACTAGACCCTCAATATGGCAACTAAAGATCCCACATGTTGCAACTAAGACCCAGTGCAGCTAAATAAATAAATATATTTTTAAAATGTATATGTCTATTTTTGTTTCTTAGCTATACCACTGGGCATGTGGGTTCTTAGTTCCCAGCACCCCGGCTTTGGAAGAGTCGAGTCTTAACCACTGGATCGCCAGGGAGGTCCCTTAAAATGTATATGCATACTCGATATTCAACACATTTAATTTTTTTTACAGGATTACATAATACACAGAATGAAATACATTTTTTCCCCCAGCAGGCCACATTTTGACTCTCCAAATACTCTCCAGTTCACCCCTGAATGTCATAGAGATATTACATAAAATTTCTGGGTGTGTCATGAGACCAACAAGGATGAGAAACCAGCTCCTAAGGCAGTTGGGGGCCCCCAGCAGGCAGGACTCAGCGGGGCAGGAGCCCCCAACCCCGCAGCCTGGAGTATGAGGAGACGATGAGGAAGCTCAGCTTGGGGCAGCCCGCTCTGCCTTCCTTCCTTCCTTCCTGCCGCATCACGGCAAGACTGTACCCAGGCCCGCCTGCCCTGCTCGACAGCAAGGCCTTGGGCTCCGGGGGAGGGTGAGAGTGGGGCTGAAAGCGGCTGGAAAAGGCGGACCAGCCTGAATTTCAGCCCTCCATCCTTGCAAGGGGACAGGCGAGCCACCCTGGGGCTAAAGGTTGCTCTGGAGCTCTCCGGGATTCAGCCCCTCTGAGTCACGCTCTCCCGGAACCCCGGCATCCCCGGGCTCAGATTCTAGACTGTAATGCCTGCGGGCAGCCCCGAAGTGAAGGAGCGCAGCTGGGCGCCCGGCAGTCCGGGAGGTGGGGCGGCTTGCGACCGCCTTGTTGATCCCGTCCCTGCTTCCTTCAAGAATGACTGATGGCGAGTTCTCTGGCCTCGAAACCACTCTCTCAGCAAGCCCTTTCCTTCCAAGGACGCCAGGAACCCGCGGAGGAGAAGAGGAATGAATTGCATTGGCCCGTCGTCTCCGCAGCGGAAGATGCTGACACCCTCCGTCCAGCCCCCTCCCCGGGGGCCCTGCGTCCCCCTTCCCCCTGCCAGGCTGCAAACACACGAGCACACAGACCCGCGCACTAGAACATAAACAAGGTTATTTCATTTCTTCCTTTTAATTTTTTTTAAATTAAAAAAAAAATTTTTTTTTTGCACACTAATAAATAAACTACTGCAACAACAGAAAAAGCAAGCGGAATCCAAATATCCTCTCGGTTGCCATTTGGTTATATAAGAAGGACGAATTAAGGCGAGCTGGCGGTAAAGAGTCGCTCCAAATCCGAGCCCCTGCACCGGCCTTAAATCAAAAGGGAAAGTGGGGCAGAGTTCTGCCAGCAGCAAACATGATCTGCTTCTGGGGAGAGGACTGTCACAGGTCACAGAACTCGGCCCAGCTCAAAGTCCGCAGCCCCTGCACACCTCCGGGAACCCTCGCTCGGGGTTGTTCTGCAGGGATGGGCTCCAGGCAGCTTCCTTTGTAAGGTGGCCCCCACCCCCAGCCCGCGGGTCGAGCTGCTGGGGGAGGGAGCAAACACCCGCCCCAAGGTACTGGACCACCGGCGCCCCTTTGCCCAGGAATTTAGGATTGGGATGGAGAAAAAGAAAACAGTGTTTATGAAGAGCCAGAAAGCGGTCTGTGTAAGTAGGGGGATTGTGGGAGGCTGTGAGCCTGAGGAGGGGAGCTGTGTGAAAGAACAAAAGGCTGAGGCGGGGCGAGAGAAAGAGAGAGAGAGAGAGAATATAAAGATTGCTGGCTAGAGAGGGACAGGCCACAGGAATTCTGCTTGAACTCCCTGCTGCCTTCCAGGCCTTTCCGAGCCCCAACGGCTGCCTTCTCTCATTTTCCAGAACAAAAATCTCTGTCTTCTGTTTCACCAGACACCTATAACCTGTAACCTTCTTCGGAGGTTCAGGAAGCTTGAAACTTCCGGTACTTGTACTCAGAATTCTAAATAATATGCCCTCAAATTGAAGCTTTCTTTCTCATTTTACTTAGTTTTTTTTTTTTTTTTAAGAGCAGTTTTAGGTTCTCAGCAAAATCGAGGGGAAGGTGCAGAGATTTCTCATATAACTCCTGCTCTCCCCCCTGCCACACACACACAGCCTCCTCCATTATCAACATCTCCCCTAGAGTGGTATGTTTGTTCCAGCTGATGAACCTACACTGACACACCATCATCACCCGAAGTCCCGAGTTTACATTATGGTTCACTCTTGGCGTTGTGTGGGTTCGGATAAACGTATAATGACCTGTATCCACCATTTTAGGGTTTTAGTGTGTGCTCAGTCATGCCCGACTCTTTGCAACCCCATGGACTGTAGCCGGCCAGGCTTCTTTGTCCGTGGGATTTCCCAAGCAAGAACACTGAAGTGGGTTGCCATTCCTACTCCAAGGGATCAAACCCGAGTCTCCTGTGTCTCCTGCATTGGCAGGCGACTTCTTTACCGCTTGAGCCATCGGGAAAGCCAAAGCCGTACAAGAGGCCACTGCTCTAAAAATCCTCTGTGCTTCTCCTGCTCATCCCTCCCCCACCTCCAGCAACTGCTAATCCTTTTACTGTGTCCATAGCTTTGTGTTTTCCAGAATATCATATAGTTGGAATTTTGCAGTATGTATGGCTTTTTGGATTGGTTTCTCTCACTTAGTAATTCATCTTACTTTTGTGGTAAAAGTTTGCTGCTTACATTTTCCTAACCCTTCTCTCCTTTAGTACGCAGTCCATAATACCTTCCAGTTGAGGGAAAAAAGCTTATGTCAGGCTTACAAATAAATTGGAAACAAATGTTTTTCCTTTGGGAAAAGGAAAATTCATACTTCCTGCATACTGGAAACTAGAAATCCTTGTGTTTCCAGTTTCAGCCACAGTCCAAACTTTTTCTTTTTTTAAATTTTTATTGGACTATAATTTATAACATTAGTTTCAGATATACAGCAAAGTGAATCAGTTATACATATGTACATATATCCACTCTTTTTAGGTTCTTTTCCCATATAGGTCATTACAGAGTATCGGGGAGAATTCCCTGTGCTATTATCTATTTTATAAGTGTGTGTGTGTGCACGCTCAGTCGCTCAGTTGTGTCTGATTCTTTGCGACCCCATGGACTGTTGTCCCCCAGGATCTTCTGCCCAGGGAATTTTCCAGGCAAGAATACTGGAGTGGGTTGCCATTCCCTTCTCCAGGGGATCTTCCCGACTCAGGGATTGAACTCGAGTCTCCTGCATCAGCAGGCAGATTCTTTACCACTGAGCCACCAGGAAGCCCACTTTACATATAATACTGTGTATATGTCAAAGTCCAGCCTTTCTAAAGCATTCTCTGACTTCATCTTCCGGAGCAGGGATTTTTAAAACCCAAGGACGCATGCTCAGAATCATGGCCGCTTCGCTCAAGAATGGGCATGACCTGAGGCCTGGCATCCATGGGGCCATCCTAAGGGCTGCCTCTCCTCACCTGGGCAGGATGGTCCCACCTGCAATATACAGAGCCTGGCCATGCTCTGCCTGGAGGCAAAATCACAGGGGCCTGTTTCAGGAGGACTGGTAAAGACTCATCCCACCCTTACTTCTCTGGAAATCATGATCATGGTGCTGTGGCAGTGTTTCCCTCACCTCCTCCTCACACAGCCTCCTTCTCCCATCAGCCAGAATCATAACAACAACAGCAATCAACATTTACCGACTGCTAATTACATGCCAGGCACCTGGCTCAGCCCCTTTTATGTATGTATTTAATCCTCATGACCCGATGAAGCAGGTAACAGTAGTGTCCCCCATTTTTATAACTGAGGAAGCTGAGGCACCGAAAGATTCAGTCACATGCTCAAAGTCACACAAGCCTCGAAGTAGCCTAACCAAGAGTTAAGACCAGACAGCCTAGTTTCAGAGTTCATGGTTATAAATTGCTGTGTAACGAATTACTCCAAAATGTGGCAGGTTAAAACAATGGACAGTTATTATTATCACACGTGTCTTCTGAGGGGCAGGAATCTGGATGCTCAGGGGAGCTTATGGGGAAGGCTACTGTCAAGCTGGGAGCCAGGGCTGTGGTCTCCCAAGACTTGACTGGGCCTACAGGATCTGCTTCTGACCTCATTCATGTGGCTGTGTTGGCAGGATGCCTCAGTGCCTTGACACGTGGGCCTCTCTGTGGGGCTGCTCCAGACAAGCATTCCCGCAGCCCGAGGGATGAGGGGAAGAGAGATTGAGAGATGAGCCACCCTGCCTTTTATGACCTAGTCTCCTGGTCACCCATCATCATTTCTGCCTTATTCTTCTCTTAAGTCCAACCTACACTCAACAGGAGGGCTTACACAAAGGCATGAACCCTAGAAAGCACCAGAAAGCAGAGATCACTGGAGGCCATCTTGGAGACTGGCTACCACAGGTGTGAAGAGGAGCTAAACAAAAGGACCATGTCCACAGAAAAACCTAAAACCTGCTCTAGAGGTGACGGCAAAGAGCTAGCATGCAGAAATTAGAAACAAAGGATTATATGTACACATAGTACCAGGGACGCTTCTGAAAAACTTAGTGCAAAAAGAAACAGGATGAATTATAGAACACAGTACCATTAATGTAATTTCAAAATATATTCATACAGGTGCCATTCATCTCAATTGCAAAAACAGGAACCCTAATTGATGCTGTTAGAAGTCTGGACAAATTGCCCTTGGAGAGGAGCTTCTGGAACACTCATCATATTGTCTTTTTTGGGCTGGGAGCTAGTTACACAGCTGTACTCATTTTATGGAAATCCATCCAGCTGTGCACTTATGATGTGTGCATTTTCCATATGTCTGTTACATGGCTATACAATTTACATTAAAACCAAAAATACATTCATGGAAAACACCAGTACCCATTTTGTAAGAGCCTATGTAAAGGAAAAGATATACATTAAAATGATGGTCTATGGGGGGATGGAAGTGGGGAATGGAGATCAAAAGGAAATACACACACTCTCACACACACACACACACACACACACACACACACACACACACGACAGGTCTTATGCGATCGTTGTTGTTGATATACCACAGAGCAGTGTTATTAATTTGACCCTCTGCACCTGAGGTTAAATAAGATAACAAAAAAGCTGTGTTTATGATCTCACATTCAGGTGGACCACAGGAGAACTTAATTTTTTTATGGTGCTTATAAAATAAGTCTGTCTCCATCTACCCAGATACCTAAGGTCCCTCACCCATCAATGCTCCCAAATCAAAAAGAGTTGATCCCAGAGGCTCCGCCAGCCTCTGCAGAAGCTGCTCAGGTCAACACCCACCCCAGCTGAGTTACTTAGTGGGGAGGAAAGATGCACTCTAATCAAATCCCCGGAAAGACTTAAAAGAGCTTAGCAAATTCTCACACTCAAGCTGCATCCCATTACCCTGGAGAGCTCATTAAAGCAGAGTGCTGGGCCCCTCCCTCGGAGTTTCTGAATTTGCATTTCTAACAAGTTCCCAGGTCCTGCTGCTGCCGGTGGGCCCAGAAGCTCACCTTGAAAATCACTGGTGCTACAGAGGAGGAGGAGAAGTATGGCTACTGCCGTTTCTGATTAGCAAGTTTTCCACCCCCAGGGCAATCCCAGGTTCTAGAACAAACCTCAGCCCTGGCTGCTGTCTAACCGGGTGGTGTGTCCTGAGAAACGGAGCTAATCCCAGAGACAATAGAGGAAGCTTTGTGAAGGGGAGATCTCTGGGCTTGGAGATATCAACACTCACCTTTTGCAGCCAGCCCCACCCTCCATCCTGCGTAAGAGGTAATGGTCTGAGCTTTCTGCTGAGAAATCTGGGCCACAGCCATGTTCACTAGAGTGGTAGTCTCAGGGAAAACATCGGTGTAAAACCAAGCAGAACCCTGTAGGGTCCTCCTGGGTACCAAAGCCCCCCCATGTTTCCCATTTCTTGTTTGTAGAGAAAAAGCTTTAATCTCGTAGGCCTTCCGTGAGTTCCAAAGAGTAAACTCAAGCTCTTACTAATTAGGGAAGTAAGGGAACTCAGAAACAAAGGGAAAGCAGTTAAGCAAGAAAAATAATGATAGCTTAAACAACAGTGAGCAATGAAGCAGAGTCCTGGTTCCTCCTCTCAGAACAGACATAACAAAAAAAAATAAAAAGAACAGACATAACAATCTGACACATACATTTTTAGTTGTTCCATTGAAATGAAGACCCCCAACCCAGGTAGAGGATGGCGACCACACGCCAACCACAAGCAGGTAGACCCCAGACTGGTTGGAACCAGAAGGTTGATGATTAAATTTCCTGACACAGTATGGAGGTTCCTTAAAAAACTAAAAATAGAGCTACCATATAATCCAGCAATCTCACTCCTGGGCAGATAGCTGGAAAAGATGAAAACTCTAACTCAAAAAGATGCATGCACCCCCATGTTCATAGTAGCACGATTTACAATAGCCAAGACATGGAAACAACCTAAATGTCCATCAACAGAAGAGTGGATGAAGATGTGGTACATATATACAATTGAATGTTGCTCAGCCATAACAAAGAATGAAATAATGCCAATTGCAGCAACATGTATGGACCTAGAGATTGTCATACTGAGTGAAGTAAGTTAGAAAAAGACAAATATATGATATCACTTGTATGTGGAATCTAAAAAAGGTA